ACATTCCCTATTGGGGTGGGAAAGAGTGAATCCGGAGGATCCGCGAAGCTGTACGCATGCCAACCGTTGCCGGCGAATGCAGCAAGAGAAAAGGACTGCACAGAGCATTACACGCGCGCTCTCGAAAAATATGACCGTGATGTATGCGAACGATGGAATGTATTTCTACGGTGGAGCAAGGTGCGTCCGATATGATCCCCTGCGCGATATTAAAGATGCAGTTCTCACTGCAAATCCACTATTCATTCACTAATTTCATTCACGAGCAATATTACTTCTCCATTAGAAATTACGCTTGCGCAATTGTTATATTATAGTTAGATTCATATTAAGATTATATGGATCAACGTTGTAATTACATTTATCGAAAAAAATTATTTTTCTATATATTTATTTCATTATTTACGTCACAAATATTAATTTTAGGCAAAGTTAGAATGAACATATATATTTATATAAATATTACAAATACAAAAATATTTTTTTTTATTTTTCTTAATGCTTTATTTATATATCAGTTGGTCTAGTGAAAAAGTATATATATATATATATATATATATATATATATATATATATATATATATATATATATTTTGTGTGTATATATATATATATATATATATATATATATATATATATATATATATATATACATATATTTTGTGAGTATTTCTATAAATTATGAACTTTTTTGCTGTATTTCCCAAATAAAACGGCCAATAATTCTGAAATTTATGTATAACATCGATACATTAGTCTTTAATATCATAGTAATTTTTTTCATTAAAATCTTAATTTATAATTTAAAAAAAATTAAGAATGAGATTAAAAATGGTACGTTCACCCAAAGGACACATATAAAAAATGTCAATTTTAGTTTCAAATGTGTCAACTTTTACATAGTCAATTTTTATCCAGTTGCACGAGCCGTTAGATAATATTTCTATTTATGCGTAGTACAAGTCTGAATGAATTCTTAACAAATTCACTTTACTTTACAATCTTCTTAAAAGTACGCTCCGGTGAGTTCTAACAGTAACATTGACATAATGTTACTATTAGTTAGTGCTTACTGGGACCTATAGGGAAATTAATGCAAAAAGAATATGAAACTAGGATATTCGAGCGAAAGGATCAAAGAGAGGAAGAAAAGTGAGGTCTCGAATCCAACAGAGACCATTGAATCTTCAATATACACCGGACTGGTGATATTGAAGACGGATACGGGCAAAGCAAGAGCAAAGAAAGGTGCGGTCGCTTTTAAATCGTTGAGTATGAATAGGAGCGAAGAAGGCTGCGTTACGAAATAGAAAATACGCGTGCATCTAAAAGGAGATACAGGCCAAAGCATTCAAAGGTATACCACTCTGTCAAAATGCACCGTGCTAAAAATAGGTCGAAAATTCGACGAAGGAAAAAGCGTAACGTGACTGCGATAATTCAAAGACTCGGATTATTCCGTGGGGTGCAAGAGTCAAGCCGCGATTTTCCGCAGTTGGTGACTACGAGTGTGGGAGAGAAGGTGGAGACAAACAGAAGGAGAAAAATCTGGTTGGTATCAGGAGGGCATGAAAAAAGAGGCAGCAGGGGGAAAAATGCCATATTACGAGTTTATATCGGGTTTCCGAGGCCGGTACAAGAGTTTGTTCGGGTTCGAGTATTCGATTTTAAAGCATCCCTCTTGGGCCGGTATAACCGTACCATCCGTACCTTTTCCCGGCTCCTCGGCCCATCGAAGGTGGGCACTCATGAAAATATATTGCACTTCCTACCGCGGTTTACACGTTGCATTCTCTGACGATTGGATTGAAAATCGATCCTTCGCGATTGCGTTATTGGAGCCGACAGCGGGAATCTCGCAGACGGACAGGATGATACTTCTTATCGTCTACTTGTCCTTCCTCTTATCCCTCTCTAGATACGCGGACCTCTCGCCATAGACGCAACAATTTAAACCCTTAGACCGTTATCGGCCCGCCTCGATCGCGTTCCCAATCTCCTCCCGGGCAACTTTCGCTAATTGTCTCTCGCGCTTTTCCATCAAAGTGTCCACGAGATTTTATGTTACATCGTCTGTAAAGATTTACAATCTCTCGTCTGTACTAGGTGTAATACAGTTTTATCGGAGTCTCCTGGGATTAATCAACAGAAATATTTATTAACAGCACAAGTTACTGCAGAAGAGATGATATTACGCTTGTGTATCCATTTGATGAAATACTTTGCTTCTCAGTTAGTGAGGCAATATTGACGTGAGGTAAAATTCTCGCAAGTTATTGCGACATTAACTAGAGGGCTGTTTACGTCTTTAATTACGGCGAATCTTTTTAATCAATTTCGCTGTCGCGCCAAGTTCGCGACGTCGCGAAACGTCGCAGGTATAAGAAGCGAAGCTCGAACAACTTTCGCATCACCATGGTACCATATGCGCCAGTGAATCTGAGATCTAGAGAAGTGTAGCTGGATTGCGCGACGCCTAAGCGAATAGTGTACCTGCGTAATACCGGGATTGCGGATATGCAGACCATAAAAATCCCGCGGGGCTGGCAGTGTGGGGCAAACAAACGCTCTGCGAGACGTAAAATCCGTCGTATAAAAATTCACGTACAGTCTGCCGCGCGATTTTCCTGCCCCACGAAGCACCGAATGGCATTTAACGCGGGATGAATATGCACGCACGCATGCACGCGCGCGTGGGCGCGGACACGCATAAATACACGCATTATCTCACGGCTAGGAAGTTAAATAACGACCGGTTATACACGCGCATACACACACACACACACATTTTACAGCATATGTTATATTGCATTTGCTCTGTTGAGTGCGAATACACAAAGGCGCACATACAGGTGCGTCCTAATACCTCTTTTGTCCTTCCTCTTCTTTTGTCCTTTTCTTTTTTTTTAAACTTGCAAATTTAGTAAATCTCCAGACACCTAACCTTCCTTATTTATTAGCTATTTTAATTTTTATAATATGCCAGTTACCCGTAGAAAATAAAGATACAACAGCGAGGTAACTCGTAAATTTTATTTAGCTGAGTCTGGTATTTATTTAATTATATCCGGGATGTTTAATAAAAGGAAATATATAGCGCAAACAGTACCGTGCAGCGTGCGTGATGCAACGGCATGTTTGTGCGCGCGTGTGTGTATGTCTATGTATGTGTATATGTACTCTTTATTACTGATTTTCTCTCAAATACTGCAGAGTCGATACTTCATTGTTTGTCTCTAAGAAATTTATGTCGAACATGAAATAGTCGCGTGTGTGCCCTAGCTGGATGTTATTTAACATTAACGGCACACACAATTTTCTGTCAGAAACATATGACCTTTTATGCACAATACAGAAACTATGATTGCGCTTCAAGAGATACCGTACAAAACTTTATCAACAAAATACTGACTCTCTTCTGCAAAGTTTACGTCGTATTGATTGCACGGGAGATTGCAAGTGCCCAATATTAATAATAATATTTTCTCTCCATCCAGAAAAATTTTAAAATATCTTGCTTTAGCTTTATAACGAAATTTAGAGAAATTTAAAAATATAATACGAAAGGTTTGCCAAGAGATTTCTACATATGTATGCTCATGTTTTCCGCTAAATATCACAAGCAGCACACTTATGTGAGATCCACATATACATGAAATGTGAAAAAAGTAACGTGATCGTGTTAGTGTTTATCTGACATGACATATCGACGATTGCCTCTACGTTATCGACACTTTTTGGCTTCGTCACTTTGACATTCTCTTAATAAACAGTAACTCAGCAGATATCTGATAATGATTGAAACATCGATGGGAATCAGAAATTAACATCGTCTCGCTGATGCGCTTTATATTTTCACGATGTCTGTTCACAAAGTGACATACATCGAAGTATATATGTATATCGAAGTATATATCGAAGAGAAAATTAATGCACTTGAAGAACATGTACATCAATAAATGTATATATTCTCATCAATTCCACATCAGAACTTAAAGTAGCCGTAAAATACTTTGTGAAGAAACACCATGAGATTATCTCTGCATCTTTATTTACATAGAATACCGAAAACACCGTTAATGCTGTCCGATAACAAAGAGTAAGTTGAAGTAAATATTATGAGTACGTAATATAATAAATTATGATCTTGTATTTTGCACAAACAGTACTATCATAAAACACGCATTTGTAAAAATTACACAAGTGTATCAACACGTGACATATTTCATACTTTCATGCACGAGTCGACGTTGTCTCGCACATGTAGAGACAATAAATTGCGGTTGAAGCTTACGCGAAGAAAGAATTGGTCGCGGTAAAATAGTCCCGAGAAAAATCTAGGTCGTTAGGCGTCGCGGCGCCGCGCGGTGTTCAAACGACGCGTCGCCTTGTGACGAATTTCTCGGACGGCGGTAAAGCATGCTGAACGAAATAGCGCGATATACACTTTGAATTTACAGTTTTTCTTAAAAATTCTCCCGTTGAAATTCAAGCTCAGCAAGCTAAGCGAAACAAATCAGGATGTAAATTGCAATTTAGCGCCAGTAACGTTGCGATTAACATGCGGGACAAACGGTACACGCTACACAGTTACAAAATTCTATAGAATAATCTTTATTATGAAATTCTCCCTGTGTACGTTATCTCTGAAACGGTTAAAATCTCATACGTTAAAGCGTCGAGAATGTCGCAGTAATACACGCGAAGCATCGCCACAGTTAAATCGCGAGAGATTAACGTACACGATTGGCAGAACGTGAAATGCGACGATAAATGTATCCGCCCTTATAAATGCGCTTATATTTATCCACATGGATTCCGAGGTAATTAGTGGCCCGGAATAAATCCCCGCGTTAGCTATAGGGCTCGTCGAGATCTAGCAGACACTAAAGCGGCGGTACATTACTGCACGGGCATTAAAATGGGACATGTATCGCCGATTAGACTCTACGTCCTTGATCAAGAAGCTTAATGTTATCGCATTCGGCTTTCTGTTTCAGAGCCTATAAATTGCACATCTGCGCATTTGTTCGCGAATGCCATCCCCGAAACAAGGTTACTACGTGACGAATTGCCATCGAAGCCAAGCAACTCGCTTGAGTCGTACTAAAAAGCAGGCGACATAAAAATACGTGCAGCGCAGAGAGAATGTTACGTGCGTTGGAAGTACGGGTAAGAATATGAAACGTCTTATCAAGAAGTGAGACGAAAATATTCCCTTGCAAAACCATTTCTGCCTTTTCAGGATTAAAGATAATTTTTTCCATTTTTAATATTTCCGTGGGATATATAAGGATTCTCCCGGTTATCGCGTGGTTTCACACGTGTGGAGATCGTTTATTGCTATCGGATCAATCCTTCTTTCTGATAAAAATTTATAACCGTTTCCAAAGACTCGCAGGAGTCCCTTGAAGACGTTTGTTGTGTGCATTTTGGTAATGCAATGTAGAAAAAAGGAGAACGTAATATACGTGAGGTGCGTCACATACGTAAATTCGGACTATAGTGTTATCAATATAAACTAGATAGTTTCCGCCGGTGCGGTTGGGCATTAATCGATGAAGATATTCTTTGACTGAAGTAATCAGCAAATCAATAATCAAAATTAATTAGTCGTAATATATGTAATCACGAGTAATTTAATCGATTGATAAGATTAATTGTTAATCAGCAATCAATCATATCAACGTTTGATTAATAATTTAATTTTATCAATCGATGAAATTATTCGTGACGTTATATGTCACAGTTGATTAATTTTGATTACTAATTTGCCGATTATTTCAGTCAAGTAAAATTTTCGATTAATCTCTAACATTGGTTTCTATATTGAATTGTCTGGGTATCTACCTGATACTGAAATTTGCATGTACTACTCAGGCACTCCGATATTGCATGAAATAACTGACCAGATGCCTGGAAATTTTAGGTAATATCCGAGTGATATCTATCTATTATCTGTTATTCTCTGCAGCAATTGATTTTGGGCGAGCTGAGATTTAACTTTTTTTTGTTCGTTTTTAAAGTAGCATCTACATGAATCGCGCAGCACGAATCCCGATGATTTACGGATAAGATAACCGGATACCTGAGTACCTGGGAACTACTCGAAAGACTCGAACACCCGAGTAGTACTCAAGTGCTTAGCCATTCGGATATTAACACTTCCAGTGCAGACGCAAAATGTGAACGGTAAATGGTCGCGCAAGGAGAATCGGCGTGTCACGAATTGCAGGGAGCTGATTGGCTGGCATAGATTAAGTCCTCTAGTTTTCAGTTTAATGGAACACCAGATGGAATTTGATATTTCAGATTATGTCGATCGGTCCTGATCGGTACTGATTGACGTCGCGGATATTGCTAAGCCTGGTTTAATACGATTATTAAACGAGTATGCTTCATGCTGGAAACCAGCGGTGACAACGCATGGGAAATCGAATTTACGCGGCGAAAAGGGAGAGGACACACGAAGAGGACAAGCACGTATTTCATAATTTATTTTGTTCGTCGCGAGAATTTGTCGTGTAATGTTGACGTCGTGAATACGCAACGTTAAAAATATCCTGTCATCGATTGTTTCATAAATATTTTATCACAACTCCATTTTCATATACTTAATCACGTTGCTGAACAGCGAATGTCTCTGCGATTCAATTTCTAATAAAATAAGCAAAATTATTATTTTTGCATCTAATTGTTTCGCTTATCTGGCACAATATTATTGACCATTTTTTAGCTATGCAAAAATTTTTAGCGCATTTATCAGAGTAATGCTTCATTTACACCAAAGAACAAGTTTCGCGCGCTTTAAGTTAGTTTGCCAAAGATATTCCTGTTACCTCTGACAGGTTCACAAATTCAGTGTAATCTAATCTTCGTGCACGGTCTCATATTCATCAGTAGGTATTGCGAATATTGCGGAAGTAGCGAAGGTACGTATGGTCAATGGAGACTAGAGAGAAGTTTAACATCATGTGAAAGGATAACTTGGGGAAGACAATCTAACTATCTCGCGCACGTACGGTGACGTAACTGAAGTAGGTAACTCGCGCTTCCAACACGTACTGAAGTCTGCTTGAGAAATACTTTTCCATCTCGAATATTTGCTTTCGTGTATCGCGCAAGAAAATATTCATGCGACTCGCAGTTATGTCGATATTAATACTGGCGAATTAAAGATAATATAATCGTTTGGTCAAATATAAACCAACATGAATTTTGAAGAGTGTTTGGTGAAATATCCACCGACGTGACTTTTTAAGAAAATTGTCATGAGTCAGACATGTTATATAATATACTTCAGCGTAAGTGGCTCGATTTTCTTGGATTTAGTAAAAATATTGACCGTTGAAAAAAATCATCATTAGAGAAAGTAATAGTTACTCCTTTGAAGTGAGTATAATATTTTTTCAAAATCTACTGTCAAAAAATTCATATTATACATACATTACTATTACTGTAGATAAACAAAAGAAAACGCAAGAAACACGTTATTAAAAACACGGCATTACAATTTAACGAAAACTAATTTCAGTTCTTTTGAATATACTTTTTTCTTTGTTTTTATATATCTCTTCGAGAATTAAACGGCATTCCCTAATGATCAAAGTTCCTCTATGAATATATAAAATAAAACGATGTCTATCATTAAAATATCTCACTTTGAGTAACATTAGATATTACAACGATGCGTCATTAATTTCTAGATCTCTTTTAAATAATCTCGCATCGTTAGCAATCTTCATATGGTGATTTTTTTCATCGAAAATCAATGCGATTTACATCTGAACATGCACTACGTAATATGACGTTTTGTGAGCGTTTAAATTGAGCACTCACCAATTCAGCATCGCCCAAAACGCCGGCCAGAACCACCGATGAAACTCACGGCTCAGCATCCAGTCTCTTAGATCTGTCACTCAATCACTGCACTCGCGATCGTTTCAACAGCGTTTGACGGTCTAACAAAATATACGCGATAAACTCGAGTACTTGGAAAATACGCGCGAGTCTCTGATCGCGTATAAACTATAGAAAATCGAAGATCACGGCGTTCGTGACAAGATCGAGAAAAAAAGAAAGTGGTACGTTTCACAGGACGGTAAAACTTCGTCAACAAACGGGAATCTCGTTTTCTCAAGTGTTCCAATTTTAGAAACAAACGATAAATATGTATATAAAATTTCATAATAATTCTATCGAATTCTTATTCGTGACGGATTATGTCACATCAGTATACGCTCGCGGCGTGTGCAAAATCGATCGACGAGAAGCATGAGGTTAAAATTCGTAGGCGAAGTCGACGCGACGCGAATTAAAAACGCGATCGCGAGATCTGTCAGGGCAAAGAATCGCAGGTGGCGTGAGATTCTTATGCATCATGGCTTCGCAACACTTGTGCGAAGCCATGCTCTGCGACATTGCGCAAAGACTTCTCCGCAATATCTCTGCGAAGTACGCTCTTCCAGAATATCTCCGGAATATCTTCGCGAATTCAATAAAATTCACATTTTTCTAAAGAGATAATCGCGTGCGCGAACGCAAACGTAAATATAAAAACACGAAAATTAGAAATCCTGTACGCGATCGTACGCGATTGTAAATATTGAAAGTTTCTGTCTCTACAATAAACGAAATCATGACGCGTAATTAGACGAAAAAAACTTCGGTTTTACTCTGTCCGACTTGTGTTGTTTTCAATAAAAATACTGATACTCGACCATACCATATCTCGTACGCGCGAGAGGAACTATAAAAAAATAAAATAAACTGAAAACAAAATCTCGATGATCACGAAATCGGTGCGTCCAATTTATATTGCGAAAAAAATTGCTAGATATATAAAATCGGATTGTTTTGCTTCAATAAAACTTATCTTCGCGATGTTGAATTTAACAAGCTTCGTTGCTGTTCACGGAACGTAATTGCGACATATATACACGTATGAAAAATTTAGAAAATCAATCGCCACGTCAATCACGAAATCCGTTAATGCGAATAAAGCATTCGCGAATATTAATGCAATTTGATTTTAATAAAATTGTATATTGCTTAGAACAATTAGAAAATCACATTCAATATGAATAGTTATATTGAATAATTCTATGGTGTTAAATAATTATAAGGAGAGTGAAAAAAATATGTTCAAATAATATAGATATTGAAGAACGTGATTCATTCATTGTTTCAAGTAATATTTTTTATACAATGACACACACAAGAAAGCCAAATATCTAAGGTAAATCGCATTGAGAAATTTTAACGAATTTTAAAATTGTCTACAACTATAAATCTTTTTAAACACACAGCTTCTTCACTTACCGAAGTGTCGTCAACTCAGAATCGGCCACGCTCTACTTCTGAATCTGAAACAAAAACATATAATGGTGCTGATTATCTTTAATGATTTAACTTAACGGGTGAGTTCAGGTATTCAACGATGGAAAATTATATATATATATATATATATATATATATATATATATATATATATACATCTCAAGGTTGCGTTCCAAAACGTCCTCATTGAGGAAAATTTTACTGAAAATCCATAATGTATATAACATGTACTACAGATTTACAGTAAGATTTTCCTCAAAGAAAACGTTTTGGAATGCAACCCAAATTTATAACGCAAAAGGTTAAAGGAGTTAAGTTAAGAGTTAAGGTTAAAAGGTTATCTGTACACACTTACGAGCCGACCCTGCTCGGCCCGAACCGAATCCTTCGGTACTGCATTCGCAACCACCGGAATTATATAGCTGCCTTCGTCACGGCTGCAAGGTCTTCCAGTTTTGAAAAAGACAATTTTTCTAATTAGTTATAGTAATAAAGAAGTTGCGCGATTTTAACGATTCGATAATAAGAATTCTGTACAGAAGATTAAAGACATGAGGTTTAATTATATTAAGTAGAAGAATTTATATTAGACATGTTATTATCGACTGAATAAATCTTTTTTGGTTTTTTTAGATATTTTTTCCCTCAATGTACTCAAGAGAACACCGTTATCGTATTTTATATTATCGTATATCGTATATTATACCAATATTTCATATTACATTCCTTAATATTTGATTGCTTAGTATACGTCTATAGTCTATAGTTGTTTATCGCATTGTTACTAATCTTAATATCTAAAAATCTTAATACCGTTTATGAGATATTAAGGTTACGAAATGTTAAGTAGAAAAAACCATGAGTTAAAATACCTTTGAGGCAATTCTACTCGAATCGCGAACCCTCCGATATTGCGTCTGTATACACCGGAACGCAGCAGCTTTTCCAATACAGCCGCAAGTTCTGACAGGTCTGAAATAGAAAATAAATCTCCTAATTAGTCACAACAGAGAAATTGCTCAGTACTGGCGATCCAATTAAGAATTCAGCGCTAAGATATCAGTAATACGTGACTCAATTGTAGGTTATGTTATACAGGTTATATTTCTTTTATATCTAATAAAAAAGTACGAAAAAATATGTATCATGATAATCATTTATACCAATTCTACAATGCCCTCTCTCTGCTTGCAATGATCTCAGCATGACGATCATACTCGCGATGAGATGCGATCTCTCTCACCAACGTTCTAATCACAAAAATCGAAAATAACATACGCGACGCGGGGCGATGTACTCACTGAGGCATCAAAGGCTGCTAGGACCGCGGGGAAAGGGGCGTGAGAGCGACGCGTATAGCATTGTTACCAATGTCACGCGTCCTTCAACTGACCAAGCGCGTGCTTCAAAACACTGTTACGTGCAATTTATTCGTTTACTTTGCATACACACATACACACACACACACACACACACACACTCTCTCTCTCTTTCTCTCTCTTTGTCGTAACGTTAATATATTACATTATTTCATTATATCAATGTATGCTAAAACATTAATTCACAGATGTATTAACATGTTCGCTAGCACGGTTTATTTAGGGCACTCCCCTCACTGGCCATCTCGTATCTTTTTTTACGTAATTGCATAAAACTTAACTTGATAATGTGGACACGAAAAAAAATTCTTTTTCCGTTACACATACACTGACATGCTAACACTGAGGGAAAAAAATATGTAAGAAATAAAAGCAATATTTAATTCGATGGATATTATAATATATAATGTATTACTTAAAATAAACTAATATAAAATATACTTTTCGAATGAGGAAATGTACATGATCTCTTGATCAAGTTTTAAGAAAATCTTAACTTTTTTTTAAAGCAACCCAATTGAAACATCAATTAACAGTAACATTACATCAATATTATAATTTCCCATTTAACAATGTAACTGTTACATAACACACATATTATATTGCATTTATATTGTTGAGGGAGAAATTATAATAATAATTAATGTTATGTTACTGACAGTTATTTACTGAAAATTGTTTATTCCGTTTGAATAAAAAAATTTAATTTAAGTAAATATGATATAAGCTCTCATCAAATAAATATTTATTATTTTTTAAATATTTTTTCTTTTAGAGTGGTCTCTAGTGAGAGATCGTTATGTCACAAATATGTAACGTTAGTAGCAAACGTGTCAAATGACCTTTTTTAAAAACAGACGAACATGGTCTACGTTCCTTATTACAAAGTTTTAAATATTCATATTTTTCCCCTGAGAGAAGTGTTATTAATATTTAATGCATCTAATGAACTAATATATCAAAAATAATGTAAGAAACGTAGACTACGTTTTTATCTGTTTTTAAAAAAAGTTATGTAATGACATAACACATGTATGAACATAGTGCATCGGTGTTTACTTTCTCCTTAGTAATGAAACTCTCAAAATACACTGCGATGACAACTGACGGTGCGAAGAAATAAATAACAGCTTACGTCAAGATAAGCAATTAACATCGTCGATTGCGTTCGTTTGCATTTACGTTGATACAAGAGACGAGTGAAATTAATGTTCTTACTAAATATATATTTCTAATAAGTAAAACAACAATATTCCTTCACGATATACGATTTCAGATTTTATTTCTTCAACTCATAGAATAAACAAACGATCGCTCAGATATCGGTCTGTTGATATAAAATGCTTGTTATTTATTCTACTTTTCATGGAAAAATAAATAAATTTAACGTCTCCTCTTTACCATCTGTGTTATTTATTCATCGTTTCACACAAAAAATTCATTTCGCGACGGGATTATCATCATAACTACATTATTTGACCTCATTGTTCGACTTGTTTGCTGCTGTTAAAGTTAGAACCTCTTTCACAAGGATTAATTTTACCTAATATCACATTGTGCATAAAAATAAGAGAAGTAAGACACACACAAGGTAAAAATAATTCTATTGCTGAAAGACATTCTGCCTTCGTTAAAAACATCTTAATTTTAATTTGAACGTAATTAAAGACGGTGGTTTGACTTTACTTAAAGCACGACGTTTTAATCTCGCGGTTTGATTACACGCCGCAAACATTTCTATAAAATAAATAACATGACCGTCGGGCGCTCTTTGCATACCCTTGCGCAGCTATTTTATTATGCATTCGCACGTATTTACATGCCCTATTCATAACTAAAAAATCCCAAGGAACGAACGATTCATAATTCATCTCTTCCGTCTCGCGCTGGAGATCCAAAATCAACCGCTTCCTTATTTAAACCTCTCAATCAGGCGATTCTTCCGTCGCCGTAAGAATCCGACGTTACTCGATAACTAATTTGCATGTGATTCCGCCAAGTCCAATGCCGCGGGAGGAGAGGGAAAGGGGTTAAATAAAACATCCCCCTCGCTGTTGACCTTTTCTGCCAGGTTCAACGACACACGCGACGATGCTCCCCGAGGACACGCTGGTATAAAAATTGTAAATCGCCAGATATGGACGGGCGCGCGCTTGTGTACCCGGCGGGAATAATCCTGCATTACTATCGGCCTCGGAACTTCCGTACCGGTCGTCGTGAGTTATGCGCCTGGGAAGATGCAGTCTGGGGGTAGCAAGAGGTCGGAGGGTTAGGGAGCGAGAGAGGATCGCGCAGGGCATCCCCGACGTTGCGCTACCGGCTTCTTCATTAATGGTAATGATCGCGCGTCTTGGCAGTCTACGGGAGAACTCGCGAAAGGAAACGTCGCGATTTGTATTCAGGACGCGAGATAGAGGCGAGAGCCAAGTCAGGACGCGGGGTGCGGGGCGAAGGGAAGGAGGGCCAGGCCACTGGATTCGCGAAATAAACCCCTTTGCCTTGGGGTAGCGACGCGACGCGACGTAGTACCGCCGACTCGACGCGAAAGGGAAGAGGAGGCGCGCACCCTTGCGCTCCAGTTCGACTTCCGACAATAAAAGTAAGCTAAAACCACGCACTCCGCCAACCGTCGACTAGTCTTTTATTTTGGCGACAGAGCTCGCTCTGTTGTGTCCCATCGTATAATCAGAGGAAATTGAGAAAGGATCATTTCGCTGTATTTTACCGACTAGACGAACTACGAGATAGTATTCTCTTGTCATTCGCTAAACGCGGATGAAAATGCGTGTAATTCGAGCACATTTTTCGATAAGAAAGTTTAGTAAACGGTAAGGTATCTTATACCTCGTCAGTCATATTGAATTTGTGATATCAGAAACAAGGAATGACATGCTGACGAAAATTACATCTAATTTTGAATAAAGATAAATATAAACGAAAGAACACATTTGAGATTGCACACTTGTAAAATTGTCCAAAAGATATCTCTTTCCCTTAATGATCTACAAATATTCGTATAATAAATGGTGAAATGAGACACGTAAAATGATAAAATAAGTCTGTTTTTTTTTGCATATTTCATTTTACCATTTATTATAATTTTTATTTTCCATTTATTATTATGTATAATTATTTATTAATTGTCAGAGAAAAGGGATACCTTTCGGGCAATTTTACAAATATGTTCAAGCAGTCCCAATTACTCTTTCATCTATATTTATCTTTATTTAAAAATGGCAAGCAAATTTTCGTTAATATGTCGTTTCTCGCTTGACAAGTTCAACATAGCCGTGACAAGGTAAAAGAAGCCTTAGAAGATAATCAAAAAATAAATACATGACGGCACTGGTCGTTGACTTTTGTGATCTTTCATTAAAATATATAGATTAACAAAATGATTGTTGTAGTCAAAAAGAGATAGCCACAAATCTCTCGCATCAATACATTGATGCGTTAAATGGGCGGCAAAAGAGCGTATATAAATTTGAGTTGAAAAAGGAAGAAGTAAGGATCGATAACGAACGTTTTATCGTTTCTGGTAATGGTCCAATAATAAAACAGGAGGAGAGGTAGGAAATCAGTACCACTCGAGTGCGACGAAGGTATATGCGGGGAAATTATTTTTACTTTATTACTGCGGCTGTTGTCTCTCCAGCATAATTATTGCTGAACTTTACGGCAGGATACATAAATTTTGCCAAGTACCATTCAACAGTCGTGAATTAGAAATTAGATTGATTATCGATAATTGACGACTGTTACACGTGAAGTTTGTACATGATATTTGACCAGAGATATTATTATTAAAGATATATTTCGAAACGACTAGAAATTTATTGACACAAAAACTAAAAAGCTTCGGTTAAAATATTTTAAAACGTACGATATTCAAAAATACTTCATATAGACACATATTTTTTACCAGTTGCAATAATCGTACATTCTGGAAACATTCTGGATGCCATTAATTTAAGCTTTTAAACAGCAACAAAATGCAACTGTAAAACTTTCGAAAAATTTCCGCTCTTTTCGTAAAAAAAGAGTTTCGTAAAAAAACAAGGTTACCTTTACTTTTTTAAATGATACCGTATTTTTTTATTCGTAGTGTTATAAAGAAAATTTAAAACACGGAGTTCTAGTAGTAGTAACTAATAATATTATCTTTGTTGTTATTTTACAGCAAAAAAAGAGCACAGTAAAATAATGATGAAGAATCTCAACAATATATACCAGAAGCATACAGAAACATAATATAAAATATAATAATTGATGCTACATATAAAATTCTATTACAAAGAGCGGAGCTTTGTGTTGCAGAAAATGAATTGCATTTCGAACACACACGTCCTGAGCACCTAACATTATTCACTACATTACATTCAAACATTACCTTATCTTTTATCTATATTTATATCGCTAAATTTTAGTAAAAATAACATTATGAAAATTACTATTAAATTTTTTATTCTTTTTACAATACTACGGATAAAAAAGATATGGTTCAACGAATCTTTGACTCTCTGCTCAAATACGCATACCAATTTGTTATTTGTTATTGATTTTTGCAAACAACTAAAAACTTTATTTTTGAAATTGATGTTAAGTTTAATAATTTTTCAAGTGAGATAATTGGATAACACTATTTATATTCGATTAAACTTAAATTTTGGAGTTTCCATGGAAATAATTTTCGTGATTATTTTGGCAAAATATTTATCTCCTCTAGTAAATTGTTTTGACGAAATATTTTTCTTCTCAAGACAGAGAGAGAAAGAGAGTCTTCAAATTATTAAGTTAATTTAATTACCAATTCGTTGAAAAATTCGAATCACGAATCTCTCTTTTCGTCCACCGATAGTAATGCTGTCTACTGCAAAAAGATTCGCGTATTTTTGGAGGACGCAGAGCTTCGCAAAATACGTGCATGTGATGTGTGCAAACCCCGAGTTTATTTTCGGTGAAAATTCTACACGATGCGAGGCGCCCGATCTGTTAAAAAAAATCGCGGTGTCTCTAATGCGTGGGACTTTCAAGGATGCGAAGAAAGCTTTCCGGGGCCATTGTATTGGGTGTCGTCGCGGCCCCGGGAATTTTGTCAAAACTCAGACTCATGCTCTGATTCATTCGACGAAGGAACGTCATTCGCCGTCAGTGGAGTCAGTGTACGTGGTCATCACTAGTCCTATACCCTCTCGCGGGATTAGTCAAATCCAAAAATAATACCGCACGCAGGCCGCGCACTGCAGTACAAATGGACACAGCGATATAAATCAGATATTCTAAGCTCTCTAAACTAAAGATCCGGTGTCTGGTGTAATAGAGTTACTCCACTGAGCGCATATGATGCGCAAAATTATTGAGGAAATAAATACAATCGAGCATCGTGCGCGCGTACACGGTGAATTTTTAGCGGCCGATGCTTATTCGGGTGTCTTGCGGCTTGCGCTCACCGACCAGCTATTAATATGCCATGCCGTGAAAATCAGAAACCGAGAATATAACAGGTTATAATGTTTACAGTATGATAATAAAATAATTTCATGTGAGTAAATTTTATCGTGATAAGTCGGGCGTTAATCGACAATAGGTAAAGGGTGAACGAACAGTGAAATAAATAAAATAAAATCTTTTGAAATATAGCTCGTGAAATGCAATTGGGGCACGTTGTATTATTAATCCTAATGCTGTCGATTAATTTTAAACTACAGCCGTAAATTAATGTGAAACTTTCAGGAGATTATTACCTCTGATGATGGAAATTAAATTCTACCCAACAAACGTAGCCTTTTGCAATCAATATGTTATTATTAACGTGCGCTCTGTTTTTCAGGCAGGTCAGGCAAAACCGCATTTTGTAAAATATTTATCATTCCCATTCATACTTTTCCATCGGTCCAAATATTTCAGATGCAGCGCCGTTGGAATATTGGAACGGCAGCTGTACGCGCGCAATCACGTATCATTCTTGATCAAAAATATTTTCACATCGATTAAAGCCGGAGGCAACCGCGGCGGTATTTTTTTTCACGAAACCAAGGATTGAAAGAGCGCGCGTTAGCCCGTATTTCTCTGTTTTGATTTCGGTTGGTGGCGCGCGGTGTGCAAAGTGGACTTGAAAATAACCCCGCCGCGGGAAGACTCCCGGACTATTAATAGTTTACCGACGTGAGAGTATCTTTGTCGCGGGTTCGGCACCATCTACGCACGGTTCGCCCGCAAAATCCGCCGATACAGTTCGGGTGCGTGCACGTGTGCGTTCATTGCCCTAAAGCGTCATCGCGATGCGCACCTGACGCCTTCATCCTCGATAGTTCGGTGAAGACATCGGTTTCCGGGCGACTCCGGACGAATTCGAGGCACTCAGTCGGGAAGGCGAGAACGCGGAGCAACGGAGAAAGAGGAGGTCGAGACGGCAGGACTGATCGTGCCAAAAGAAGTTCGTCCGGCGGACACGTCGGGAGACTCGACGAGAGTTCCGCGATTTTTCGCGTTTTCGCGCAGCCGAACTGGAAGGAACTTAAAAGCGCGTGTTTCGAGTGAATCTAAATAAAGAACTATGCAGCGCGGCGGTTGAGGCGGGGCGCGGTGCTTCGCCAGACGGAATATGCGAGAGTGAGTAAGAATGGTACAGCGAGCCGCATGCAGCAACGAAACGAGCGCATCCCTCAATGGCGTACCGAGCAGCGACCGCGACGGAAGAACGTCCGGCGTCGTCGTCGCGACGGACGCGGTGATAGCGCCGGGTGCCGTGGATGGTAAGGCGACAGCCTCTTTGACGCGCGACAGCGGCAGGTTCTCGTTGTTCAGGTGGTTCAAGCGCAATCGCGACTCAACCGTGGAGAAACGACGGAGAACGAGGCCGGACGATGGAGTCGTCCGACGCAGCGTCTACTCCAGCGTGGAGAGCGTAGACACCTTCTACAGCACCACTACGGTCCGTAGTTTCGCGTTCCACGCGGGAACTCTGGGCCGTTGCGACGTGTTGTCCCTGGACATCCTTAAGCAGGCCGCTGAGGTCGGTCCATTCGCTGCCGGAGCCTCTAAAGTGTCCGCAGGTGACAAAGAGAACAACGTGTCGACTATCGCGTGCACGTTACCGGCCAACGTGCACTCCAGGAGACGAGACATCACCGCTAGGTACTCGCTGCACCCGTCGACGACCTTCGGTTCGTGCGGAAGTTTCCCGTCGCCCGACAAACGTCTGTTCAGCTCGTCGAGGAGACTCGACGAACGTGCGCGAGCCAGTTTCAATGGATCCGTGCAGCGACGGGTCCACGTAAAGGGAAAACGGAGAGCACCCAATCCTCCCGGTACGCTGGTCAAGGTCGTAGAGGTCAATGTACGGGAGACGCCCAGAAACGGCAGTAGGCGAAAGCGACGAGCACCGCGACCTCCGGAAAAAGCCGTGGAAAATTGTTACGCCGAGGAGAGGACAAAGATCACTAATGGAGGCATGAACGTAGAACGGAAAGACATCGACGAGGCACAGTCGATTAGCAACGACACGTTGGTACTTCAGGGTGGTATGTTGCTGTCGAAGAAAGAAGTTTGCGGGACTTCGAACGTCGCCAAGGACGTCGGCGGTGATGTCGGGCCGTCCAACGTGGCGGTTCTTCAGGAAAGAGCGCAGAGTCCTGTTTCTTCCCTCGGCATGCCACGACCTTGGTACAAACGCAGCGTCTTCGAGCACTCCCGTGAGCATCCCGGCCCGTCCAAGAGAGGCGTCATTCTTCGCGGCAACCCCGCGACGTCCGTGGCGATGAAGGAGGAATACGTTGGGACGACTTCTTCTACAAGTTATTCCGTCGACGCTTCCCTGTCGAGATTAAACTTTTTCCATCGTGGTGAGCGGCAGAGTGACGACAGAATGCGGGAGGCTAAGCGCAAGTCCGGACTTTCCATCTTGACGAACATCAGCGAGCTGGACAAAGAAGCAGCAGCGATTGTCCAGGAAGAACAAGCGCGAGCTCGAGCGTCGATGATATTGAAAACGTCAGCACTCGCCGACGCCTTCGAGAAGAGGAACGATATCAATGAAGAAATCGTCCAGGACATAGTCACTTCGGCGATAGAGGCGACCTCGTCGCCTCGACGGGGCACCCGTGCGCTGATCTCAAAGTTCAACGCCATCAGCAATATCACCAAGGTCACGGTCAATAGCAATTTCTTCGCTAAAAGAGATCAAACAGGCTTGAAGCTCGAAGACAGAGACGCAGCGAGGAACAGCAGATTCGAACACGTCGGGGACTGGAGAGACCAGAGACATTCGACCCAGCAAGATCTCAAGCAAAGCGTTCGTGTTGATAAGGACATATCCAGATACTTCTTACCGCAGCAACGAACTTCGAGAAATAACATCGAAGCGAGACACGTAGATGTGAACATTAAGACCAGCTCAAGCAAAGAACAAAACGATCAACTGATGAGGGATACATCTAATAGAATATCACTTCTGCAAAGTCAGCTTGCATCAAATCGTATGAGCGAGCCGATAAATACTCAGAAACACATAGCGTTCCCGATAATGGAAGGAAAGTCGAGATCGCGACAGGAAATCGCCGAAGAAAGGAAAGACAAAGACTCACCGAGACTTAACAACGAGACCAATAGGAAATTTTTGTTTTCTCGCGCTCGTAACTCGGCTGAAAGCACGGAAAACACGTTAGATCCCTTAAGAGAGAGGACACAGAAGGACAGGGAGCAAATAGGTGAGGTGCAGAAGGAATTCTCGGACATTTTCAATGAGATCGACCGACAACTGCGTTCAAGGGAGTTCAAGCTCATTGAGCGGAAACCAGCGATCGTCGGATCCGGCGACGTCAGGGCCAAAGTTGCAGAGGATGAAACCGCTGTATCGAGCAAAGTGGCCAAAGTACTCGATATCTTGGTCGAAGCCGAGAAGGATAGTAGGGCAAAACCGGCGATACAGTCAGCAAGATCGATACAAAACAAGGAGGCGTTGCGTTTGATTGATTCGGACCAGAAGACGAAGTCTGGCAAGACAAAATCAACCGCCCTCCATGCCGCCGAGGACCCAATTACCACGGATTTGAAGGAGATGTTGAAGGAGATGAAGCACTCGTTACCGAAGCGGCCGAAGCCGAAGAAGACTGCATCAAACGATGGTGATCTTCTCGAAAATGTTGAGAAGCACTCACCCGTACCTACGAACAAGACTTCCTACATCGCCTCGGTCACGACAAGAACAGAAACGTCAAACGATTACGAGACAGATAAGCAAAAGGTGTCCTCGTCCGCGCAAACCAGTGGAAACATTCGTAGATTAAATCAGCCTTCTACTTCCGCCGCGCGACCGTCTACTTCGGGCTGGAGGCAGGAAAACGTGCTTTATAGAACTTCTGGCAAGGGCTCGGCTCTCATGAAGAATACTTTCCAACTGATACGACCGCGAGATTTCGCCGAAATAGAAGCTATGAAAACTACAAAGGGAGTTTCCAGAGAAAACACTTATGCCAATGTGATAGAGTCCTCGCTGTACGCTAATGCTCATGTTCCACCTTCTTCGCCTAAGCAACGATCAGATCAGGCACAATCTAAGAATATTTTGCAAAACAGTCATGTCAAGATACCAGAGAATATTGTAAACGAGCGCAAAATCGCGCCAAACAAAGACGTGTTTAAAGAAGAAGGTAACAACACACGTTGAAATTTCACATTTTGATGTAGCAAATTATACAGGATATCTGAAAACTCCAGATGCAGCTGTGACGTGCAAGTGGAACTCATCAAACTGAACGGCAATGTTTTACACCATTTTGTAAACAATCACGTAAAATTTTGAGTTATTAACTAATGAAAATTGGTTAATGATCGCACTCAATGTAATATAGGGTGTGATGATAAGTAGAATAGCGTTGTAAATTGCACATTAGGTCAATCTAACTAGAAATCACTCACCAATCATTTATTAATCTTCTTTAATTAATAACTCAAAATTTTATGTTTACAAAATGGTATAGGACTTTTTCTTTCAGTTTGATAAGTTTTACTTGCATACCGTGGCTATATCTAGAATTTTAAGGCACTTTGTATATTTGTATTTAGAAGGAAATTTGTATTTCATAATCGTGGATTACTTTTCTAAAAATCCAGAGATTCTTTTCTCTAGGCGCAAAAATGAAAAATATATAAAAAATATTTAGAATAATATTTAGAATATATAAAAAATGTTTAGAATAATAGAATTTAAGAATACTTATAATATTGCAACAGAAAAATAGCAATTATTTCATAATTAACCCTCCTTTCTTATATATGTAATGTTTATTTTAGCTTTAGTTTAGAAAAATAATATGATTACTATTGCAGATGACAATTTGATAACGAAGAACATGAATACTCTAGCTATAAATCGATTATTAAGAAAGCTGGAAGGGGCCATCGCATCAGGCCATCATCAACAAGCGGCGGGATTAGCGAAGGAATTGGCAAGGCTCAAGATCCATTGTTCCGTGATACGCCAGCGATCGGCGGCGCATCTGAAGGATCAGTCGATTAAAGTCAATATGTATATCGAAGACAAACTTGCTCACCAAGGACCTATACCACTTCAGGTAAGTAACGATACTGACGGTTGTTCAATATTCAAACAATGCGCTTCACGTATCGGGCTATGATAACAGCTGCCGACGAGAATGACGGTAGCCGAGCTGAAGACAAAGATACACACGGAGTTTGAGATACCCACAAACGTGCAACGATGGATCATCGGGAAAAACTTGGCTGATCATGACGAAGCTACTCTCGACGAGTTACACGCAGTGGATGGCTCACCGGTGTTTTTGTACCTCGTTGCACCCGGTAAGCTGGATTATTCGATGTTGAGTCCCGCATAAATAATTAAGTCAAAATTGTGCGTAGATTTCAAAATTACGCCTGCAGATTATTTACGCATTATTTACGTAATGTATATATGTTATTTTTCCAGTTAGATAATGTAAACTATTGTAAATTATATTAAAATATGTAAAAGAATTATGAGATAGTTAGTATATCTGTTTTGTATATTAATTATAAATGTAATGCTTAAAGATAACAGATTGCATGAAATTTTTATTTCATAAAGAAATATAACAAATTAATAAATTTCACTCTGAAGGTAAGAGTGTAATCAGAGAATTCTGTGGACTTTCCAACTTGATTAGCAAACGACTTCTATAAATGTACATCAGGATATTTCAAGGGTTTAATAAAAATATAAATTTTTCTTAATTAATTTCTGAATAAGCCATATGTTTTTTAAACAATACCTATAGATTACTAATAATTTCACATAAATGACATATCACACATATATAATTCACGTTTTGTCTACACGGAAGCGTAGAGTATCATAATTTACGCGTAAACGTCCAACTCTGAATTAAACTAAAATTTATCTTTTCAATCGTTATCGTTGAACTCGTTCAGAGTATGAAAAAGGAAATGCATCTAATATAAAACTACATTTCAGAAATGCATGTCGACAACGCTGCAGAAATGCATGTCGACAACGCAGCAGAAATACGTATCGATAATACAGCAGAAACAGCTAAGTTGCAACCCGCGAAAGATGAAGTTCTTACGCCGCAAGATCCACCAGTGGAAGACTTACCAAAAACAAGCGAAAGTCACGAAATCACGGAGAAAGAGGAGATGATATTGTCAACAGATGAGCATCTAACAGATGAGCATTCAACAGATGAGCAGGTAATATATGCTTTACTTGTCGAATAGCCGCTATTGTCGCGATTATTGCTCCCGTTATTTGTTCTCCCGTTAGTGTAATCTTAACCAAAGAGAACGATAACGTAACGTAACGCACGCTTTGACATCCTTGTGTAACAATAGCAAGAAACAGATATGTCGGAAAACGTCAAGATGGAACGATACGAGGAACTGATATTGCTGGAGAACTGGGACGTCATCCCGAATTCCGAGTCAATTGAATGCCCGATATGCTTCGTTACATACGGCCCACGTGAGGGTGTAATTTTGAGGGACTGTTTACACATGTTCTGCAGGTAGGAACCCCATTAATCTCCTTTATCTTAACTTTAGTTTAATCCATAGTGTACAATCACGTCACTTGTATTCTAATTTATCGTGATATTGTAAAATCTATTTAGTCCAAATGTCTATATGAGTACATGTATAAAATAACGATGCATCATGTTTATATATTTATCCACTTTATAATGCTGATTCATGTGTATTACGAAAACGCGTCAACTATATTAATACTGAGATGAAACATATACGATTACATCCATGAATCTTTGTATACGGTATATCCGAAAAAAGATAGTAAAATGCAAAGTAATTTTATATTTTATTTACCTGCTCTCATATAATTACCAAGCCAGATATATGCGTTCATTTCCATGTAAATATAAGTTTCATTTAATATTCATAGAGCATGCATCGCTAATACGATCGAGTACTGTGAAGAAGCAGAAGTGAAATGCCCATACAGAGACGCCGAGTATACTTGTGAATCAACACTTCAAGAACGTGAAATCAAAGCGGTGAGCTTCTGTGTTTCAGATTAACTGTCTAAGTTTTAACAAAGTTCGCGATGATCCTATTACTGTTTGTGCTTAGCTTGTCGAGGCAAAAGTTTATCAGCAACACCTCGCGAAGTCAATCGCACAAGCGGAGAATAATGCCGGAAATAAAGCCTTCCATTGCAAGACACCAGACTGTCCTGGTTGGTGTATTTACGACGATGATGTGAACAATTTCTTATGTCCTGTATGTGGAGCCAATAATTGTCTTACCTGTCAGGTGAGTAAATCTTGCATCCATCACGAGACATAAATGTACAAGTTTACAAATGTCCCTCGCCGATTCTGATAAGCCTTGGATATTGTTCATTTTCCGAGAATGTAATTTTAGATAACAACATGGTTGAATTTGGTGTATAATTTTATTCAATTATCTTCATAAAAATTTTGAATTCTAGAGAAATAGTAATCGAAATTTTGACATATTAAAAAATATATAATCTTTAAATGTACAAAAACATAAAATTAACGCAATTTAATTGAAGAAAAAGATGCTTAAGAATTTTATTCGTTGATCTTTTCTTTCTTTGAAATATCATATAAATGTTTTATTCATGTACTAACACATATATAAGCTGTATTCCAAAATTTATTGCCAGTATTGAAAGTTTATAATATACGTGACATAAACTATAGATTTCCAGTACTGGCAGTAAATTTTTAAACACAGCCATAATTAGAGAAAGAAAAAACAAAACAATTGTAGAGCTTAAAAATAGATAAATAACATATAAATTTCGACTTCAAAAGGTCATCCACACTGGAAAGAACTGCAAGCAATATCAGCAATGGTTACAACTTTCGAAAGAAACCGACCAAGAATCTAGGAGAACAGCAGCGATGCTCAAGGAGATGGTCGACAGAGGTGAGGCCCTTGCGTGTCCCACGTGTGCCGTCGTTCTTATGAAAAAGTGGGGTTGCGACTGGCTGGTTTGTTCCATGTGCAAAACGGAGATATGCTGGGTCACAAGAGGACCTCGTTGGGGTCCAGGGGCAAGTATTAATTTACCTTCTGCAGTTTGTCAGGATCTCTGAGGACTTATATTCCCCAACAAACGTAGTCTTATAAATAGTTCATGACATTGTCACACGCCGCGCCCGTATTGATCGTGCTCGTCGCTTGTCGTAGGGTAAAGGAGACACATCCGGTGGTTGCAGATGCGGAGAGAACGGAGTCAAGTGTCATCTCAATTGCAATTACTGCCACTAAGGAATTAGAACTGCCGCGATAATGGGCGATGCTTGCGATGACAATGAAATGTCCTAGAAATGCTTTTATACTATTATGTGCTGCTATAACGATTTACGAACCCGATCGTGGCACGCAAAGATATTTTATATATGTCTAACATAAGTCCGAAGCTCAATAAATCAGTGTGCGATAAAAATTACACCACTCTTGTTCAACGATTAATATTATCGCGACATCATTCTTAATTGAATTCGAATGAGGTTGTAATAAAAAGAGGGATACATCTGACTTTGTACCGATACTTCTTATTCTTACCGTAAATATGAGACAGAGAAATAAATCGTACTTTACTTAAAGCTTTAGATAAATCTAGAACATTACAATAAATTATCGATACAAATGTTTTTGCAATTATACAGGCACCGATTTTTCGTTCTCATCGGGAGCTGTTTCGTTTAGACTGATCTGTTTTAATCGAGTAACCAATGCGGATTGATGATGCGTGAGCTGCTGGTTCAAGTTGTTACCGCCTGCATTTTGTAGCATCTGAACAAGATGCATTCGTGATGTTGTAAGATCCAATTTGCCGTATCTTAAAAATTTCTCCTTGTTCAGTACGCGTCCTTCCAGTACACCCGCTGTACAAAAAGAAAGTAGATTAATTATTTTTCGCTTATTTCGCTCATTTTAGCTATTTATGAAATACAAAGTTATATACTTACCTAATAAAATAACACTTGGGAACTTTTTGACAATTTTTTCGAAGGCGTTGACATTTATTTCAGGACTGAACACAAGAGCAAATGGTGACGAGTACAACGGCAGTGAAGCCGCGTAAGGTGAATCCGCCAACGCTAATTGCATAATTTTCTTACTATATCGTTTATAATACATATTTGCTTTCCTTAGCGGAATTTCAAATTCGAACTTTTCCTCCGATGAAATAGGATTTTGATGGCAAATGACAACCATTTTGGACTCGTCAAACCAGTTCCGAACCTCGCGTGCTATCATTCTTTGGTAGGGATTATATTCTTCCTTTTTTTCGATTTTCTTTACTTTTTTACACAATTCTTCTAATCTCTTGCCTTCTTTATTGTGATCATAAAAAGGTAACAAGAAAGTGTTTACCAATCCTCTCAGATAATGTGGTTTTCTGGGTTTTTGTATGTTAATTTTGCCTCGAAAACGCTTCTGTTGGCAAAAGATTGTGTTTGGAATAATCTGAAATCCTGAAACATATTCAAAACAACAATATTATTCGTTAACTCTGCAGAACAAGTTGATTAAGAAATAATTAGTTGAAAGTTACAATGTTTTACCTTTACATTTGTCTTCAATGTTAATTCTTTTTTTGTTATAATTTCAAGGTACGTATTGGATTGATGAGAACGGAAGTGCGTTTTGGAAGTCAGAATCGATCGGTAACAACGAATAATTCCTACTTCGAAAGTATAAGCTACTTGATTTGGGCATCGTGTAAACTACATACAAGTGTTAATACCGTAATAAGTACATGCTTGCTATCTCGGTCGAAGACGAATAAAAAATTATATATACAGAGTCGTGTTCTTTTAATGATACAAGGCACTTTGGAACAGATCATATATATGTATGTATATATATATATATATATATATATATATATATATATATATATGTGTGTGTGTGTGTGTGTGTGTGTGTATGTATAAAATATATACTTCTACATATGCAAATGTGTATATATTTGCAAAATCGTGATATAGTGTATACGTATATTATTTACTTATATCGAGAGAATTCCGCGTCTATTTTATAAATTCTCGATTGCGATTACGCGATATAATTAATTGTTCCGCTGCAATAATTACTAGTCTCGTGTCTAGTTTCTATACTATCACCAAAGTTAAGTGATTTCCTGTTTTTGCCCAACCGAAGCATCGACCGAATGCCGCCTTTCTTTCGCGAACGCTTGTATCGATCGTCTAAGGCTGAATTAAGGGAAGCCTGCTTCACGTCCCCGCGACTGTTTGAGAAACCTTCTCGCTCGTCTTTGATATTATTGCTACTCGTAACTTCGCCGTGCACATCGTCCACGAGCCAATGTTTCCTCGGCGAGAGAAACGTATTGCATCCAGGTATGGTATACATGTATTCCGATTGAGCAGGATCGACCGATTTCTCGTAGTGCTTCGTGGTGTTATCGGTACTTGTGTTTTCAGCTAAGGCCCCTTTACTCGTATGTTTCTCGAAATTGTTCAGCTTGCCAACCCTCTTGGAATGATCATCCAAATCGCTCGACTGATTACTCGTTTGACTCGCTAATTTCTGACCGCTCTGCTGCTCCACGCTCTTGTTTTCTCTACCCTCGCGTAACTTTTTATTCCTCTTATACGTATCCGTATTTTTAGCATCGAGTGCCGCGTGTCGTTTCTCCGACATGCTCTGCCTTCCGAGAGCATCACGGGAAAACTTATTCGACGAGGAATTGAACTCTTCTAAAGACAACTGGCTGTCGTACGTGGGATCGCCGGAATATTGACTGTCCTTGTCCTCGGCGTTCCGTTTGGTGTCGTTTCCTTGAGAAATGTCGTTCGACTCCTCCAACAATACTGATTCGACACGATGGTCGTCGTTCGATCCTACGGTTATCTTCTTTACATTGCTAACAAGTTCTATCCACGTCTTGTTGGTGGCGAGACAGTAACTCTCGTTTCTTAGGCTATTCTTGTTGTATTGCTCCGTCAGTCTATCGATGACAGGATTCCACGGTGAAGCTGTCACGCAGGATAACAGTCCCCCGTTATCCAATATATCCGCTTGAGAATTTAAGGTGTTCTTTTCCTTAACTCTACCTTCATTCACCTTAGCGGAATCTGATATGTATATACTACTAACAGATTCGGGCTTACGATAAGACGGCAAATTATCTACAATATTCTTCTCACTGTCATACGACGATATCCTCCTAGCTATTGTGAGAGTTATCACGCCAGTTACTGGGCTGTTTGTGTTGAGCATCGCCCTCCTCAGAGTCTCCATCGCGTCCGAGTTGGATAATCCCAATAAAGATACACCATTAACGTTGAGCAATTGATCGTTCGTCCGCAGCCGGCCGTCCCTGGATGCTGCACCTCCGTTGATAACACTCTTGATGAAAATCCCCAAGTCCATATTGTTATCATCAGAATTGTTAGTCTTGCCTTTAACGCTGACACCCAAGCCAGCTTTTTCAGAATCATGCACTGGTATGTCTAAAGTCAATATCATACGATTCTTCCGCGGAGATAAGACAATATCTTCCGAGGATTTCGCCGATTTATACGCGCATTTGTCGTAGCTGTGAGTGCTTATTTTATCTGGCATATCGTTCTTCTTTGCTGGTGATCTGTTTAACGCGTTCCAATATTTCGGATTATCCAACACGTCAGTAGCCATGGAAGTGGACGTCGCAGTACCCTGAGGATCTGGAATGTTCGAAGAGATCTCTTCTTGCCGTGACACCACTATCCTGACTTTCCCACCTGAGGGGATACTCCTGAGCAACGACACGACCTCAGCTTGACTCTTGCCAGTCATCTCTTTGTTATTTACCTCTAATAACCTATCACCTGATCTCAGTCTGCCATCCTCAACTGCAGCACCTTTTGGTAATATATTCTTAATATATATAGGACAATGTCCTCCTGCAGGATTATCACGTGTGGTAACACTAAACCCTAAACCATTGTTACCCTTGGTCAATTCTATTTCTATCATCCGCCCAATCTTCCTGGTATTCGCAGTTTGCAGAAGATTATAATTGCTGCATTGAAGTCTCTTGATATTGTCATCACCATCAGCCTTCTCCACTTCTCCACTAGTATTTCCGGCAATTTTGTGCAGAGGTTTCTCGTTCCTCGTCTTTTGCTTATGCTTAACTACAGATATTTGCAAACAAGGCTCATTCATACATATCTTGAAAATCTCTTGAACTTTTGAAAATGGTATGTGCAACAAATTGTGACCGTTTATCTTGATAATATTGTCATGCAAATTGATTTGTCTATCCCTAGCAATCCGGCCATTTGGCTCAATACCTTCAACCCTGAGTCCTTGATCATTGCCTAACAAGTCGTAACATGGCACCACATGCAGCCCCAATGGTCCTGTTTCATTCTTTATCACAATTTCACGTACCTCTTGATCCCTATATTCAACATTATTACCAAACTCATATGAAGCCTTAGAATCTTGGCCTAAGGGTTCTCTGCGTCGAGACTCCCTAGGCAGAGACTGAGCAGAATATGTTGTGAGACAAGGCTCCCTGGTAGATAATGCATGCATTGACAAACGTTTCGTGCTTTCTCTCTTAATACTACTGGTAGGTACAGAGGAATGGATGTCGATAGAATAAGCCTGCTCTTTCCCATCGGTGTGGAAGAAGTCAGGACTATTCGTGCCAACTGAGCTTGCACCATCTCCCCCAACATGATTGACATCTGAGCTTGCAAAATGCGCCACAATCTGTTCCCGGTCATCGGCTACATCACACAACCTGTCATCCGGGTCCAGCAAGCCACCTCCAGTCAGGGAAGACAAACTGTTGATGATCAGGTTGTTGTCGTTTTTGCCAGTAGCCTTCTTGTATCTCAGAATGGCCTCATGCATCAGATCCCTCACCAATAGAGTTCCATCTCCGCAAGGGACCACTACCCTGACGTGGTCAAAACACACAGTTACCTTCATGCTGCTCCTGATCTCATATTATGGAAATGCACGAGCACAGGTGTGCGTGAAGATTATCGCAACAGTAGTTGAAGCCGCTTGATAATTTATATTTCTTCAGCCGCCGAACAAACACAGATCACTGTCGTTTACGCTCCACAACGTTGGCGTGCGGCGAGCTCGGAACGAGTAATGCGATTATAGTGCATTGCTCGAATCACTTGTCTCCATATCCCAATGATTCACCGATGCTGATACTGCGCGTTGCGATTGTTGGCGGCAGTACCGTCGTGGCTCGTATACGTTGAATGCGCGACGCAAAAGTTTCACAAGAGAACGCCCGGAGATACCGATACCTCGTCGGGATAATTGATAAGGCGGCACGTACGCCCAGCTTTATCGGAATATCAAATATGCGGAATAGACGCACTCGCCATTACAACATTTTAGTTCCGCCGTTTCGCTGCCACGGCGGAACGCCGGAATCGAACAAAATGGCAGCGTGCATAACACTACCAGAAGAAACTTCTAACGTGTTAGATGGTTAACCGATTCTGGGTCAGTATGATTTAGCTTATTGAAGGTCAGTATGAATTGTACATACCTTTTCTTAGACAATGTTCCATTTTTGAGGCGCTTATCCACTCGACTATAGCGTCAACAAAAAGGATATGTCTATTAACAATAAATATATCTCACGAGTTTTAGCAATACTATTTGTCACGAACTACAACGAAGTGGTTCTAATCCATCGTTTCTTGTTCAGAACGCAGTCGTTATGGGTAAATTCGCAATGAGCGATTATCGCTCACTCATTTACCCACAATAAATGGCTGCATATGCATGACCGATGCAAGATGGTAGGTTTGTTCTTTATAACTGCACATTCTAAATTATTTTTTAATTGTTCCATTTTCTTCTGTTTTCCACTAAATATCCAATATATATCTATTTCATTTTAAATGCAACTTAAGGATTATGGCACATAAAAAAACGCAAATAGAAAGAATAAACACTTTGAAAAAGAAAAAGCAGAAAGAAGCCAATCATGCTCGTAGTCAACATTTATTAGGAATATCGCAGAAGTAACCCTAAATTTAGTAAATATTAGGATATTTATGTGAATTTGTGTAGTTACTAAATACGTCTCTGGTAACCTCTTCGTCTTGTCCAATGAAGAAAATTCTTCTAGCCTCCTAGCTATTGGGTGCGTTCTCATTTAGCGCGTCATGCGTCGCATCGTCCATCGCGGACCAATCAAATCATCCCATTTTATTGCCTAATATTACGACAAATACAATGGGACGATTTGATTGGTCCGCGAAGAACGACGCGACGCGTGATGCGCTAAGTGGAAACGCATCCTAATGCATCGCTCGCGCGGACGCAACAGCTGCACGTTAATGCAGCTGGACTATACTTTTCATAGTAACTGTAACTTAACATATTTTGCCTCATAGATATTATATTTGCTCACCAAACAATTTTTTATGTCTTTCTTACATTAGTGCCAATGGTATTACAGAGCCCGATTTTGCGATTAGGCTTATGAAAATTTATAATAAATTAAAATATAGAGAGATTCCTACTGCACTTTAAGCCCTATCAAACTATAAATTAGGATTGAGATTGAATTGAAATTTAGCCAATCAGAGCAAAATTCACTAATCTCAAGTTTGGTGAACTTTGCTTTGATTGACCAATTTTCAATTCAATCTCAATCTTAATCCGTAGTCTGATACGGGCTTAAAAGCTGATTTATGATGGCCGTTAATTTATGCCGGAACCGTAAAAAATTTACCAATTATAATCGAATTATAGAAGAATAATCGACTGTGATTGGTCAATTTTTTACGATTCCAGCATAAATTAACGGATTACGGCCATTATAAACCAGCCTTTAGTCGAATTAATTCAAATAATTTAGGGTGCTTTCCAGTTGCGTACACTGTGTTACACAAAACCAATTTATCGCATATTATCTTACAAGATATTTTAGATAATATATGACCAATAAACTGGTTATACGTGTGTGTCAAGATGGTTAAGTAATTGGAAAACATCCTTAGACTACTTTTATTTCAACAAACCTTTTTCCCAAAAATTACTCTGTAGCACTTTTCAGATTATTATCCTGATTATAAATATCACAATTATAAGGCGATTTTCTCTGTATTTTACTCAAAATTTTTTAAAATACCAATGTTAGTTCCCAGGTCTCCACGAAAGAGGTCTCTACTATATTCCTGCAGATCCTTTAAATCCATCGTAAAATTTTAGATATTTGCTACGCAGTTTCTGGCAGTTTCTGTCATTACGTCATTGCATGACAATATCAAAAAACATAGAACGAAATATATAAATTTCTGTATATAATGAAGTGGTTTGAGGGAAGTATTAGTGAAGCTGTTCTAACGTCAAAATCGAAAAAGGCAATTTTCGTTGTGTTTATTGAAGGTACGTAACTGCAGTTTTTAGATAGGTTAGGTCTGAGTCATATTATGGAAATTTCTCTTTTAATTAACGAAAGTAATATAAAAACACATGACAGTACATGGAGTACAAATATATAGTATGGATTTTATAGTATCATTAGCCATACTTGCAAAAATCTGGACTTTGTCATACTTTGATATATCCTTATAGGCAAAGATGACACATCAGCACAACTTGCCCAATTAATTAATGCTCCAGAGGTTTCTTCTCGTTTGGAAGAGGAGCATTTCGTAGCTATAAGAGTAGAGAGCGAATCCGAGGCTTATGGGTTTTTTGTACAGATCTGTATCCTCTCATATAAGTCTTAACAATATTATATTTTTTTTATATTCTTTTATCCATAATGCTATATCTTTTTTAGGATAGTATTTAGGATGTCATAAAATGAATTTCTTAAGAATTGGTTTTATTTTGGACTACATATGTCAATCAAAATAAGACTAATACGAGGATATTCTGAAAAAAAAAAAATATTGAATATGTGGTCTTGAAAATATAAGTTTGTAATTTATGATAATGTTTTTCAGTAAACTCAGGTGTTAAAAGAATTCTCTATATTTATAATGCTTTCAAGGTTTCCTTAAATTTATAATCAGATCAATTGGTGCCAGTACCATCTTTATTTTTCATTGGAGAAAATGGAACTCCATTGGAAATAATTGCTGGTGCTGTAACTGCAGATGATTTAGTATCAAAGATTAATAATGTATTGACACAAGCAGGAAAGACGAGTAAAAATTCTTCATCAAGCTTAATTGATGCAGAACAGAAAGCTGCAGCTGCTAGCAGCAGTAACAATGCTGCTGCTGAATCTACTGAATTACTGAATAAAGATAATGTCAAATGTAACTCAAATGTAGATTTAGTCACGCTTGAATCTACAACAGCTGATGTCTCAAATAATAAAGAGAATGCAGAAGATTCTACAAAAGCAACAGCTTCAAACACAAATAACGAAAACAATAATGAAAAACTACAAAAAAATACTGAAGATAAACAAGATGTTCAGAACAATGAATTGACAACAGAGGTATGTGAAGCACACATGAAAATAGTGAAACTTAACATAATCAGCCATAGTTATGCAAAAATATTTCAACTTACAAAATTATGATTTTTTAATTTTTATTATTAATAAGCAGTTCTATATGTCTTTCTATATAAAAGAGAAAAGGTTATAGATGTCTAAAATTAATTAAAAGACAGTTTTTGTTTTCTAATTTCGCCAATTTTTAGTAGTCTGGTTTTTTTTACTTATTTACCCCTTTTCTATTCATTACTTGCATAACTACAGCTAATTACTCAACAACAACTTATATTTGTTACACATTGACAGGAAAAACTAGAGAGAGCGCGCAAGTTAATAGAAGTTCAACGAAAACAACGAGTGGAGCAAGAAATGAAGAAAGAACAAGAACGTGAGGTTGAGAGGCGCAAAAGGGGACGCGACGTACAAAAAATGCGGCAAACACAGCAAGAATTGGAGATAAAACAAGCTTGCGAGGAAAGGATGCGGGAAAAAGTTGCCGAAGCTGCAGCCCGTGAAAAAGTTAGGCAACAAATTGTTCAAGACAAATTGGAGCGGAAACAAAAAGAGCTTGCGCTACAGGTAATACTTTAATCATTAGCATTTAACTTCTATTCCCAGCCGGAATGAACTTTAAAGTACTGTAAGAAATGTAAAGTGAACTAAGGAACATGCTTTTTTGACAAATACAACTAGATAAGAGAAGTATCGGTAAGTGTGGTACCTGAGTAGCTCAATAGTGAGAGTTATCGTCCGATAAGCGAAAGAGTTCGAATCCTGACTTCAGCTAAACCTCGTCCCGATATTTTTTCTCGTTTTACTTTGATTTTCCTTTCAATACTTGATCTGTATAATATAATAATGTTTATGTACCAAGTATATTTACCATTGAAGAGAAAACATTTTGATCTGAAGTAGAATCGAAATGTTTGGATAATATTGATAACAAATTATATTTCATGACGACTTGGAGATAATATCATAATCTTGTATTGCTTGATTTATTATGTTACAATATCTATGTAGAAGTTCCTAAAGATTTTTTTAATAATCTAATGTGATTGGACATCAAAGAGCCTTATAAAATTTATTTATACATTTTATGTTACAATAGGGACAGTTGCAGCAACAACAGCAGTGTCAACAAGAACAACCTAAACAGAATCCAATATCCAGCAACACGGCTAGAATCCAATTTAGATTGCCATCTGGCAGCACCCATACAGGGCAGTTTGAACCATCTAGTACTGTGCGCACCTTACGTAATTACGTAGTCGAAAATATCGAACTGCCCTCCCGGCAATTTTCCATGTCTACTTCATTTCCTCGAAGAATATTGACGAACGAGGAAAACGACAAGACTCTTCTAGAATTAGAACTGGTCCCAACCGCCGTTATTTTAATTCTTCCTATGAAGAAGGAATTAAAAGCTTCCTTCGTGAGTACAGTTATCTAGTATTTTTCAACAAAACATTATACTTGTATTTGTTTACTATATATCTTCTTACGTTTTCAGTCTAATGTTACAACACCGGCCACATCGGTGCAGAACGGCTTCTTATCTCGCTATATGTGGCCCTTATTTACACCCGTTATTGGTATTTACAACTTCTTCTTGGTCATAGTAGATTATTTCTTTGGCACTAACAGAAATGCGAATAATCAACGCAATTCTGACAACGATGGCACAGAAATAACAAGAACTGCCGATAGAGCGAGTCCATCAAATCATCGAAATGTAGCTCAGTCTTCGGGGTAGGTTTTCTAATTATCACGGTAAACTGTCTTACAGACACGATGGTTCTATGTACTTGCGCTTATAATATAATAAAATTACAAGAGATACAGAAATTTCAATATATTAAATGTTACTATTTATGATACAGTTTGTTTAGAAGATATTTGGGTAATCGAGAAGGGACAACAATCAGGGCACAAGGAAATATACACAGACTACATTCAGACGGTGATGATAATGATGAAAATAACACTTGGAATGGTAATTCTACACAACAAATGTAATTTATTGAAAATTTAGTTTGTATTACGCAAGCAATTGTGTTTTTAATTAATCTTGATATATATATATATATTACTATGATGCAATTGATATTCGGTACTCTTTATTGTTAATATTGTAAGTTATTCACAATATATTTTTCACACAAGTCACATGTTCTGACAAACAATTTCTAATATAATATTTAAATATATACGCGCAGTAATATCGTGAAAGCAATTATTCGTTAAACACTTTACTGTCAGTAAGATGGCCATTTTATTTGAATTGTCATTATAACGTAACGTTTATTATAATGCTTTGTTGCATTTTAAAAAACGTATATTATAATGTTAATACGTATATAATAATGCTAGCTTGATGTTTATTGGGGTGATTTAGTGCATTCTAACAAATCACAATAAATATGAGTAAAACATATTTGAAAAAAATGAACATGTAAAATGGATCACACACACACACACACATGGAATATTCAAGTAACGGGTATTGTGACACATGGACCAAAAGTAATAAGTTTCGTAAATATCAACATACGAACTATGAAAATCTCGTGAATATTTTTTGAGTTTGTGAAAAGACTCACTAGATTTGAGAAATCTGATATATATCCACACATTACCATTTCATTATATAAATCTTAAGTTTGAGAGAGTAACATAAGTTTCTTTAAAAATATTTCTCAAAATTTTTTTTTCAATTTTGGATAACAAAAGATTCGAATTATATCATTTCAATAACGAAACATATATTTTCACACTTTCTAGTAGATTATATAAATTTTATATTATTCATTATGTTTTTTACAATAACAATAAGAGTGCGATTATAAATTAAGATAATTAGTGTATGAAATATTGCAATTCGCCTATGTAAATGTCTATGTGAATTTAATAATAGATAAGAATGTTTACTTCCTAATGGTAGTAAGTGCACAAGATACAAAGGGTTTGGTTCTAGTAACGCCTAAAGTAATAAATATAAAACAACTTATGATATTATCTCTATCTCTCTCTTTTTGCTTAATTCCCTATATATTTAAGGTGAAAATATTACGTTGTTTTCTTTTCATATCCGTACTAGTTTTTGTGCTAATATAATAAACGTTAATATTTAAAGTAAGTTGGCACATTCAATTTATTCGCTACATTTAATCTAACAAAATAAATAATATCCGAAAACTCATTGATGACTTTCTTGTCTTTAAATCACTTTAAGTTGTAAGACGCCTGGTTCCTCGCTAAGGAACTCGCGATTGATGACATTAGAAAATAAACGACAAAAATTTTTGCTAACTACATTGAAATAAAAAGATATTACCATGAAATGATACTTGCGATCAATCGAGCATACTGTGAAATATTCAGAACGCTTTTGTTTGCTTTAACAATCAATAAATTATTGTAAAAATTAATGTGATACGAAATCTACTTTTTTAACTTACTTTTCTTCATAATTTCATCATGTAAATTTTCAGTTATTTATTAATTGTTAGAATAAAAAGAAAATGTTTATTTTTCACACATTTGCTCAATTAATTAGAAGTGTCATTTTATTGATATATCTTTTTGTGACTACGTATTTTGTAAGAATTTTGTGTATATTTTCTTACTTCTGACGTCATAAATCAAGATGGCCGCGGCGAAAACATAGGAACCTTAAGAATCCCGAATCTTATCCATGAAACGGCATGAAGTCAAGAAAGTAACGAAGAAAGTTTTAATAATTACATATATATGTTTAATTGTTTTAAAACAAGGTGAAATGTAAACAAAAGAAAAATCCGATATATTTTCGGCATAACTGAAATAAAAATTATGTTACAATATATGTTTATTATAAAATATCGTTGACCAATTGTAAATTATGTTTTAATAATATTTTGTAACTTGCAATACATTATGCCCAAAACTGCGACTCGAAAATTTTTCGTGTGCCGAAATATGATTCCAAAAATATATTCAAGGCAAGAAAAAACGAATGCTAGCAACCTGTCGCTGTTACATTATGCGGCAGACACATTTAAAAAAGGCCATCTACGACATTTAGAAAAGGTAATCTACGACCATCTAAGCTGTCAACAGCCACTTGTCAATTAAGTGTGAAATTAACAAATATTTTGATTTAGTAGCTACCGCAAAGGTTTCGGCTTTCTGGTCATAAAACATCACAGAAAGGCACTACATGTATCGGTAACGTGATCTCTTTCTAGTCACACTTTTCAAGTGGTTCCAGAGAACATTGTCATATAATTTCAATCCTTGCAATAAATCAAATGAAGTCCGTTTGTTGGAGTAATAATTCCAAGAGCAATGTTGTCCAACAAGGATAATTTGCGTTATCATATTCAAAATTTTAATTCGTATTTGTCAAAATCTATTTAGCTCAATCAAGTTATACGATAATTATAAATGGACTATATAAAGCCTAGACCAAATCTACATAAATAATTTTATTAGTTTGTATATTAAACGTTAAAATAAGGATTTATTATATGCAGAAGCAAATTTACTGAAATATAGTACACGAAGTAAATTTATAAATATACATGTGTGACAAACTGTTTCTTGACAATGTCTAATAATGTAACGAATATCCAGTTTTTTATGTTCATAAGGTCCTCAAAATGATCTTATTGTTATATACGATAATCTGTAAATATGTGCGCCACATAGGAGAGATGTTTCTCACTGTAATAACCGTCAGCGCCAAATGATCACCAAAATAGCAATTTCTGAGGCAGAAATACTCGTTTAACCAACGTGTTATTAAGTGGTACTATGTTATCCAGTCAATTGCCAAATCATTATATTCTATATTACCTATTTTCAGCGTAAGATAGTCTATATAGCTTTGCAAGCATTCATGCCCACATATAACATAAAAAAATTCACACCAACATTAAATTTTAATTATTAAGAATTTTATCAGATAACTGATCAAAAGAGCAAGAATATTCAACTCAGAGCTAATTCTGTCACAACCATTTAAATTGTCTGCACTCATTCTTGTAGTTAAAATTTACGATAACTCTATTAAGTCGTTGGCTTTCATAACTGAATCAATTTCGCATCTCGTCTACTCCCTATCACGATTATTAAACGACGTTCCAGGGCGGTGACAGAAATTTATGGTTACCTCATTACCACCGTTTAGTGGTCGCTACCGTCTCACACTACGAGATCATTAAAAGCTCCTTCCAGAAGCGCACGTGCTTGCCAAGATCCGCCCAGAGAATAGTCAGATTGGTCGGTTTGACGATGACGTTGTGAGCACGTGGCTTCGTAATACCGCCTCGAGGGACGAAGAATTTGACTTGTGTGCCAAAAAAATATTGTTGAACACCGTGTGCAACCCCAAGTCGCTGGTTTCGGCTCTAATCTCTCGAACAGATCAAGGGGTACCAATGTAGCCAGCTTTGCTATCTGTCTGTTTCGATCATCGATGTTTTCGTTCCTTTTCCATTTTCAAGTGCAATGTGCTAACTGACAAAAAGGATGCTGCAATGTGAGATATTGAAATCGTGGAATTATATTTCAGTGAAGTTTTATAGTTGGTTGATTGGTGTCTAAGATACGTCAACTAGATATCGCGAAAGCAGAGTTTTACTTCCTTTTGTGAAAGGATAGTTAGTGACTGACAGTTGAAGCATATAATCCTTGAAGAAAAACAACATCCTCGAAGAAAATGAGAAATTAATGTGCATCAATGTCTGCGCGATAATCACTTGAGAGTATGAAGAATTTCGATAGGTACTACTAATAAATATGTGTGAACACTTCTGAACGTCTCAGCCAAAACAAATTTAAGATGTCCGATGAACAGTTTAGAAAATCCGATTTGTTGAAAGAAGCAAACGATCCGGCGGAGAATTTAAAGATGTGCTCTTTTAGTATCGAGAGATTATTAGCGCCGAGCAAGAAGAATGAAGAAGATGATAAATTTCCACAGCAGACCGATATATTTCCGCAAAAAAGTAAGTAATAATAAAAGATATATTTAAAATTGTTACGATTAAACTTCGTTAAATATTTTACTGAGAAGAGTAAAAAGGTAAATAGTATAAATAGTATAAATAGTATAAAGTGTGTTCACTTTTATTAATTTGATAAATTATCATTGCGTTGAAAGCTTTCTTTATAATGTAATTAATGATATTCTATCCAACTTTTATGATATGAAAAATTTCATACAACACAAATATCCGAAATCCCAGAGATATCCCAGAGATGCATGATCTTTAGGATGTCTCTAAGATATATTTTAAACATTTGTATGGGATATCTCACAAACGTAGTGAGAATTGTGTGATTAACGAAATAAAAATGACTACACAATAAAACTTATTATTTGTTTATCTAATTTGTCACAATTTTATAATTTACAAGATATTATTTTTGAATATTCAATAAATTAATTAAATGTGTAATTAATAATATATTGCTTTATTATGTATTACAGAAAATTTTTGTAGTGGTAATACATATTTTTTTCTTACTTGAAAGGACTTTGCAGACAATAATCTAGATTAAAATCTGTAATAAGGAAGAACTAAAATAGTTGTGTATATATTTACTAGGTAAAGAATCGGACACGGGAGTACTTGTTGCTCCCGATTCATCTATGCTAATGGCGGAAGAAATTGAACTCGATGATACCGATATGGTTTGCTCGACATCTCCGGAACCAGAAATGTATTACGGTGAGTTTCATTAGAGTATTATTAAACAAAATTGAGTTTTCAGACAATCGTATAAATGTTTACGATGAAATATTTTTCTTAAAAGATTATTTTCTTTATTTCTCAATACACGAAAAATATATATATTTTTTCCTAAAAAAGAAATCCATATGTATATTTATTTAAAATTTCAACAAATCCGCAAATACCGGCAATACGTTTTTATTAACGCCAATCCTGGAACGGGAAAGCTTCCACGTTACACAAGTGTCGAACATCTGTATTTATTTTGTTAAATCGCCTGATTAATAAAGACATTTCGAGCGAAAACGAATGAATAAAGATTTCGAAAATATTTGAATTCGTCGATAATAGCTAATAAAGTTATTTCAGCCGAGAATATTGTTACTTTATCATCGTGGAAGCACTTTATGCACATATTTGTTTCCTGAAATCAAACGATTACGAAAGTTATCTCCATCAATGACAAACATCGGCATTTCAATCGTAAAATGTTATTAATGTGACATGTCAGAGAAAAATTAACTTAATCTTCATGACACCTGTAATTTTACACTTCGGGAGAACTGTATATGTTAGAACTGTATAGTTCTCCTGTGTGTTATTAATTCCATTAAGGATGATAAAATTTAAAGATATAATATTTGAGTATTAGTTGCAATGCAAATAATGTTTTTTAGTAAAACTGCAATTTCAAAAAAGATGTCATCTCACATTTAGTAAATCATGAAAATTGAGGGTCACTTTTTTAAACGACATCAACAGCTGTTTATACGTCTCTTTATTTCTCTTACGTCTCTTTATTTTATATTAACACAATGGCAACACAATGAGCAAAATTTTTAAGTCTTCTTTTACCGTATACTATTCGCAGAACCTTGACGGTGTTAATAAGAAGCAAAAATAGTTTTCTTAACTAATGACGGTGCAAGTGCGCCTATGTTGTAAGATCTTCATAGATTATTTGGAGTCTTTGAGACTGTCAAGAATTATATCGCCATCCGCTGAAACCGATTTTGCATCGGTTAGCTGGTAACATTATAACGGGTACCAGAGGGACTAATTGTTATAAAATCCATATGTGCGACTCCTTGCGGTAACGAATTCGTAAGATCGCGTGGAGAAGACTGTCGCCTGTGAGTTTGATCCATTACTTCCTGCAGGTTCCACGCCCACTCAATGTTTCTGCTCTTCGTCCACTATTTATTTGTCTCCTGCTAATTCTGTCATGGAAGTGCAGCAAAACCTGCTCTTTTACTTGCAATAAAATTTCAAAGATAAATGCTAGCAAGATATCTTTGAGATTTTTCTAATGTGTCTCTTTCAAAATGTGTTAGATTATTAAAGTTTTTAGAAAAAATACACGCTTCTTGAAGTATTTAATGAAATGAAATTAATGAAACGAAATTAATGAAATGTAAATATTACAAACAAATATTTTTGGGAAAAATATTTTCTTGTGAGAAATTCTGAGAAATTCAGATATTGTTTTAAAGACTTTTTTACGATATTATAGTTAATTTATTATTCATTATTTTGTCATTTTATATTGTTCATCTGAACAACGTCAATAAGCACCTAGTTTATATTCCTACTTTATTATTTATCGTTATTTATTATTATTTATTGTGTTGGGCATTATGATGTGAACGTTAGTTGTTGGCCTATGTAAATCTTGTGTATAAAGTTATTTTTGAAAATGATTGTTGTCAGAATACTCTGTTTCTAAAACTAGAATCGTCTTTGATACATTTTGGTCGAGACAACATAGTGGAGAGCGATCTTGTTTGCGTTTTACGGGTAATTAATACAAGAGCCAGGTGACTTAATTTTGCGGAATATCACAAGGGCTTAACTAATTTCCATGCGAGGTCTCGAATCTACGCCATGATTTACACGCCGTAATGGGCAAAGCGATAAATTCGAGATCCAAGGAAGGGACAATTCTCGTTTGCGTCGTGCGTTGCGAGTGAGATATGTGGGACGTCGCGTCCAACTACAAAGCCGTCAACGTGGCACGTAAATTTTCGTGAGAGAACAGCATAAAGAGCGAGGAACGACGCGAGAGAAAAGCGCTTCTTCTTGAACGAGCTCATTATGATTTGGGCAACAGTTTTACTTTCATATTAATGATGTCAGTATAAAACAGGTAGTTTATATAATCATGTACTTGTATACTCACATTCGCAGTTACTGAAATATCCATTTGTTATTGGTTTTAGTAACCAATGTCGCATCAGCTGATTTTGTATTTTGTTTCTTGAAGCAAATTAATCACGATCACTCGAAAGTATTGGGGTAATTTTCATAATAATTGGATACCTAAGTATCCGCCAGTAAGCAAAAAATCATTAATAGAACGTTATTGCAACAATATTTGGTAACATGTAACATTTTCTAATATGTAGTTTTTAACATTCTATCAACATTATTACGAATAACTTCGACACTTTAATATTTCTAAAAATTATCGCAATATATTCAAAGGTATCGTATTCTCCGATACCTTTGAAATGTTTTTAAATATTAAACAAAAATGTTCAAGAGATACGAGTAAAATCAATATTTCAAAATGTTGTTCTAATTTTTTTTGTTTACTGGCTTTTCTTAGCAGTTAAATAATATTTTTCTATATGTAGTCGAAAAATTCCGGTATTCAGATAATACTCGAGTACTTAGCTACACAGATACATTAACATCACTAATTCATATATAATACTCATATTCTTATTTCTACGCTGATCATATATATTAATTCATTAATGCTGTTAAGGTAAAAGTGTATATTCTATAAAAATGAAATATTCAATATCTTATACAGTTCTTGTATGTGACATATTTTCTCTTGCAAAGGAATCAGTAACTCCCCAGAAACATCACAAATTTCTAAGTAGCGCCGTAAAAGCATCTAAAATATATCTAAAAAGAGTAAAGCTTCTTTTACCACTTTACTGCCTGAGTAATTTAAGCAATTCTCTTTAGTATAAAATTTAACTAATTTAAATGCTAAATTCTCTTGGAATGACGAGCTTGTATAACAAAGAATTCATTCCTCAAGTTACCTCCAAAGATTTGTCAATCGTCGCGGCTCATACACAAATTAATTATCCTTACGAATGATGGCAAGCATGAAACCGCAAGCAACGTCAGACGAATGAGATTTAGCCGCGCTTTATCGTGAACTGCGCGTTCTCGTGCCATTCGTCAGCGAATAATTAGGAGACAAGTTCGCTGTGGCTCGCAGCAATTAGGTAAACTAGAGGGTGTGGTATTCTATTTCCGCGACGTTCAACGTGTCTCTGCTTCTCGAGCTTAATTCCCCTTTGCCCCCTGTGTCGTCGGCTCCTTTTTACGGCCGTATCCTCTACACCAATCCTTTCCTGCTCCTTCCCAGAGCTCATTCGTCAATGCAACCGGGACAGAAGCTCGACGACAAATGAGCCGTGCGGGAATCACGTCTTGCAGGCTCTTTTCGTACTTTTCTTTTCCACATGTTTCCGGTTGCGAGCAAGTCGTGATGATTTCACGTGTATCGCATATTGTACAATTTAATTCTGACATTCACATGATAATAATATGAAATTTTGCAGTATCTTGATTGAAGTATTAAGAATAGCTACGTATTGGGTCAATCAAAAAGTTTAGTTTGACTTCTTGTCTTCTTTGAGAGTGAGTCTTTTATCTTGAAAATAAGTAGACGAATGTTACTGGAACACTGACAAAGGATCATAGATCAAAACAAAGACATAAAGCAAGTCTATACATAAGTATGTACATTCTTATAATATACGAACAAAACACAAGTTTCTCAATGTTATATTCAAAAGCTTACAAAAATACATGGTGATCTAACTACGAAATACTAAAGCGCTGCCTCAACGGCTATCATGATCCCCTTTTGAAAACGCAAAAGCGGAGGGCTGCATCAAGTACGCACGTCACTGGCACATTACGCGCAGAGTGAATTAGAGGCGGTACGGTTTTAGCCGACGATTCTGTACTACGACCGTAGGCGAGGAAACCACGAAAAACGTGCGAGAAACGCGACAATTACGTCGCCGTCTGACAATTAGTAGCCAGTAAACGGCACTCCTCCGAACGACTCCGCCGCGAATAGTTTTTTCGGGATATTTATTGCTGGTGCAGCTCAAGAGAGGCCATTTAAATTCGCGATTTCTTTCTGTAAACTGGATAGCTCTCCCGATTCATTGACACTAGAATAACTAATACTGAATGAGCTCGATAACCAGGACGTATATCCGGGCAATTCTAAAAACTATTCGTTTCTTAGAGCAGTTGTGTTTAAAATTTCTTAAAGCATTTTTGTTTAAAAATTATTCAAAATAGGAATTAAAAATACTTAGCAATTTATTTGTCACAATAAAGTTATGTAATTTTTAATTAGAAGGTTAAAGGAAGTTTCAATAATTTTTAAGAATTTTTTTGAACACACTAAAGAGAGGAAAACCAAGGAAGACACTAATGACCTTATTTGTTATTCTGAGGATAGTGAAAATACGTCATCATTCGGAAAATCAATCGAAATATTAGTCTAACTTTGGAACTTTTGGAAGATAACAAATATTTTATTTGAAGCGGTTATTATTCAAAGAAATATTACTTCAGGAGTAACGAGTTTATTTCATCTATACCAATATCAGTAACGTTTCCAACGTTAGTCGCAAGTGTCCCATGAAAGCTCACTCAGCTGTCGCGATCCTACGCTTTTTCGTCGGATGACGAATGGGCAGATAATTAGAAGATGATCCTCCGGCGTTTAAGAGCGTGGTCTTGTTACCAGCCGCCTAAAAGCGAGTCCGAAGACATTCCTTACGACGAGCGACGCGACGTCATGTATGGCCTCCTTGTAGCCGAGATAAATATAAATATAAACAACTTCGGCGGACAAAAAGAGAGTCCCGAGATTGATGAGGAAGAGGATTCCACGGGGGTAATTGGAACCTGCTCGCACTCAACAGCACAAGCTCGCGTGTCGCGTTAACCTCATTCAAAAGCGATTAAAAAGATAAAGATATGGTGCTCACGACGAAAGTAACGGGTTTCGAATGAGTGATGACGCGATTTCGATGTTCGCATCAGTTATTCAGACAATATTATGTTATTTTCTCATTTCATCGGGCGACACGTAGCGCTTTGTAATTTGCAGTTACTTAATCAAACTTAATCAAACTATGTTTGATAGCTTGCGTTTGATACATCAACACTCGATCATCAAAAGTGTACTTACATAACACGAATATTCGATGATTAGCGGCCGATTTCATTTCCGAGGTGTCATAAATGTACTGCTGATGTATGTTGTTGCTAATTAGTCGCAAAATATGTTTAAAGAAGCTCGACAAAGCTATTATTTAGATGTTGTGTATCTTGTCGGTATAAGAATGCGAAACATTGTTGCAGAAGTGTGTACTAGCAGCAGTGGTGCGAATTCCACCACAATAGCAGATACAGACGCCCAGGAGAAAATCACTGGCAATATCAGTGACGACGAAAGGAAGAAAAGACCACGTACAGCATTCACTGCTGCACAAATTAAGTCCTTGGAGACGGAATTTGAGAGGAACAAATATCTGAGTGTGGCAAAACGGTTGCAGTTAAGCAAAACTTTAAAGCTCACGGAAACGCAGGTAAATACCTTAGATACGGTATATAAGTCAATTGTTCCTTCAAGAAGTTATCTCGTAAAGCTGATCTTACTTTGGTTCAACAATATTTAGTAGTGTTACGAACTACTCCTATACATTCGCTCATACCATAAGTAAATTTAATTAGTGCAGAGTAGGGAAAGCAGAATGCATATATCACAATTTACACAGGATATATATGTGTACTCGATAAATTGCGATAATGTCTTTGACTTCCGTAAAGTTTCTTTAGCACCTGAAGGAATTTAAGTTCCTTGTACCTCGTGTTCCTTAAAATCAACTGACTCTAAATTATGAGCCTATGGAACACCATGTGTTCAGGCGCCAGATCATGGCGCCATGGGGGAAGATTGCCCTTTTAGACCAATTAGCACTTGTACACCCATCTTTCTAGCGAACTATCATAGTTAGAAATTTTTGGCCAAGTATTTAACCTTTTCAAAGACAATTTTTTTGCATATAGGAGTTTAGACGCTAGTCATAAAATATTTAAAATTAAACATAAAAGATTTTGCAAAAATAAGTCATAGAATATGGAGTTGGTATTATATAAAAAATTATTAGCTTAAAAAATATTTATCGAAATAACCCAGTAAACATCAACCAATATTAATACTACATCAATGTTATAATTTCTACTTAACAATGTAAGTGCAATATAACACATATTGTATGCAACAGTCACATTGTTGTGTGGTTTATTATAATGTTAATGCGTTGATATTTACTGGTTGATATTTACTGGAATAGAAATGATAATTTAATATGCGTTGATATTTACTGCGTTAATGCGTTGATATTTACTGGTTGATATTTACTGGAATAAAAGTGATAATTTAATATTTACTTAATATATAAGCGTTTCATGCAAAAAATCCTAAATGATATAATGGGGTTGTAGCAAGTTTCAAGAAAGGTTTTCGAAATAATTTCTCCTCTATGTTTCACAAGTTCTACTTTTGTTTTTACATTGATCTTAATCCACCGTGCACTTTCAACGTGCATTATCTTCCAAAATTAAACCCGTGAAAGTGTCATAATTCCTTCACATGACGATTCCATTACAAAGCCCGCTAAGTGTGACGATTACATAAGATCCAGCCGTGCACTTTGTAGCGCGCGCTTTATACTTCCATGCGCTCTAAACTAATTAATTTACGGCACGCACTCGGAATATTCACCATCGCGGAGATTACACTACGCCGTCATCGCCGGCTCGTTGCTCGCCGGCAATAATTGCCAGCGTCGGTCGAAATATCGCGAACGAGCCGGATAATTATCTCCGCGATCGTGGCCGAAAGGGAGAACGATCGGACGACGGATCAGAGGCAAGAAAGAGACGCGTCGTGCCGTAGACATAACTGTCACAATATTTCTCAGAGTTAACGAGCCGGTTCGGGGGGCCCCTTTTCTCCTCTTCTCGCACGCCTATCTTATACGTCCCGTCGTCGCGCAGCTTGCATCCGCGGCGGAACGAAATGTACCGAGCGACGGCTGCTGCGCGCCGTCGAGGCGACGAACCGGAGAGGCGTCGATTTTTTAATTAGGATACATGGCTGACTGTATACTCGCCTCGCGACTACCTCTGGAAAGATCTAAATATCCAGAAGAAACTTAAATCTATACAAAGAACAGTGTTCTATTTTCTATAGCGTTCCGTAATACATTATTATTAGATAAAATGGTTACCGCTTCCAACATTCTTCGCAATATTGCATACTCACACGTAGAAAAAATATTTTATTGCTAAGAAAAACGATTACTATACTTCCTTTACGTAATAGTATTCTTCACCAAAGAATATTTTCTTGATAATATCTTAGTATCTTAAAATATACTCATTACAAATATTATAAAAGCATATTATTGTGTATAAAATCATGTATATTTTTATATGATTATATATGAACTTTTTTCCGGATATTTATTAATACATTTAATTATACATATAGAAGGAATACTTGTTCTCTTTTACTAGCATGTATAAAAATGGACACTTTTTTACTCTATTTTAAACAATATAGCATATAATTTTGCAAAATATTTTTGCGTGTTGTTTAATACTTACAATATATATAGTATCAAAACAGTACAATCTGTACTTTCTTGATTAGAAACACTCAACCTACAACTGCCTCGGTAGCGCAGTAGGCAGCGCGTAAGTCTCATAATCTTAAGGTCGTGAGTTCGATCCTCACCCGGGGCAATTATTTTACATCCTTAATCATGATAAAATTGTAAATAGTAGAATCTAAATTATAATTTTTGTTTAATCATTTAGTGATATCTTAATTTAAAATAATGTAAATATATAAAAGTTATAATTTATTCACGAACCATAACTCTTTGTCAGTGAATTAATTTATTCTCTAAGAAACGATTCTTTTACAAAATATATTTATTATACATTGATCAGGATTGATTACAGTTCTTATATAATGATGTCAAATGACGTATTATTGACATTAAAGACATCATTAATGCGTTGTTAAAATGTTATTTGACGTTATCTTGCTACTTAGGTTGTTTTGATCGACATGCCATTTTTCGATGTGTACTTTTGTAATTATATATATATATATATATATATATATATATATATATATATATATAT